CCGCCCCCGGAGCCTCACACCCGCTGCCGCCCCCCGGCGTCCGAGGAGAAGGCGGCGGGCGCCCCCCAGGGAAGATGAAGGCGGAGGGGGGTGACCACTCCATGATCAACCTGTCGGTGCAGCAGGTCCTGAGCCTCTGGGCCCACGGGACGGTGCTGAGGAACCTCACGGGTAATTGATGCGCCGGGGTGGGGACGGGGATGCGGGGACACCCCTCGCCTTCTTCCTCCCTCCCGAGCGGAGGAAGAGCTCCTTGCCTTCTCGCCCCACCCCGTGTGCGCCTCCTTGGGAGACCGCGCTCCCAGGTGCTGGCCGGGAAGGTCTTATTGGAGCCACTCCGCGCGGGTTCCCAGGGCGCCGACGGCCGCCACCCGTTCGCCCTGCACTCAGAGGCTTCCCAGTCTCCAGGGTGTGCGGGGGAGAACCCACGACCCCCGCCTCCCGCCTGGCAGCGGGAGGGCCCACGGCCCTGCCTTAGTAGTACTCGCGGGGTAGCATCGCTGCTGAGACTTGGGCACAGTTGGCTTTTATGTACCCCCTCTTCCCCACTAGCGCACACACGCGTACACGCGCACACGCGCACCGCTTTTTACTGTTTAGATCTTTTTTCTGTTTAGCTCTTCTTTCTGGCATATCTCAAACTGAACGCTGGACTGAAATCTGCCCAAGATCAATTTGCTTCCATTGTTAACGTTTTGTTTTTTGGGAAGATAGATGACATAAAGTAGATTTCAGTGGGTCAGGGGCTGGGCCAAGGTCTAGTGATTGCAAGCATTTTAGTTTCAACCATATATCTCCTCTCTCTCCTATTTCCTTTTGTCTTCTGTCTTTCTCTGCCCCCCACCCCGCCCTCAAGCTGCTGCTTCTGTGACATTTGATAATTTTGTACATTTCCCTTCATTCTCAAGGCTATCAGGAGGGAATTGGACTGAACTACATTATAATAATTAACATCAATTTATAGTGGTAAAAATGAGCAGTAATACTATTTTTATAGGATGTCTGGGCTTGCTTTGTGAAGAAACTTCTGGGTTTGTTAATGTGGAAATGCTTGTATTATCATACTCTGAGTTCTGAATTTTAAAAAGACCCTCTAGATTAATATTTACAAGAAAGAGATTCTTTTGCATTTTGGTGACTCCTCTGTGCCTTATCCTCAGAGAAAAAACTTTAAAACATGCCCAGGATTTGATTCTTGAAAATGTATAAGGCAGCTAATTTTGATAGAACATTAGTGTTTCAAAATGCATTGTCAAACTGGCTAAGAGTAGGAAGAGCATACTGCAAATATAACTGGTATGCTATGGGTATTCATTATATATGAATTATATACCACAAGGATGACTTAGAGACACTGGTTTTCTTGAATGTGGAAGCTATCAAATTAAATTCTGGATTGACTCATGATGTCCTCAGTTTTAATACATGGCTATTTAACTTGGAGCAAACTGACCTTACATGATGGTTTAAAGATAGGAACATGTTCTTAGTTCTGAAAAACTATGTTGACATAAAGACCATTGTATGATTCAATGGAATTTAGGGATAGACTGCTTTGCCTTTTTACTATGGTTTTGCCTTATATTTGTTCATTGTGTATATTTCAAATGTTTTATCAGTTAGAGTATTTAGAAGAAATAGCTTTGGGGAACAGAGAAAATGTAAATGTAACTTATCTCTTGGCTGGATTTTATAATATTTTAAAATATTTACTTTAAGATTCTAATCATTATTTAGCAGCTTCCAGTTCTGCAAGTCAACCATTACGTTAGTAATAGTAGTTTGAGCCCAGCTTAGCTCTAATTATCTCCTAATGCAATCTTAATAATCATCAGTTGCTCACAGGACTTTGCCATTTCATGGAGGATATGCAGAATGTCCCAAACTAGGACTGAAGTGGGCCTGGGGAATAAATGGAAAAAAGTAGAGTGTGAGAATGCAAAATGGTTTGTCAAGGTAAAAATGGAGAAGGAAATAGATTAGAAATATGTTTCACCAGCAGTTGAGTATACCACATGTTAGGAACCACATCACTTTGGACTTTGGAAGTGGTAACATTCTGATGTGGTTCTTTATGGCCTTCTCTGTTCTGGTGACATATGTAGCTTAATCATTAGTCAAGATATGCTACCCACCTTTTAAATTTGGTCTATTAAAAACAAATCCTAAAACAACAAAAAATAATTTCTGCGATGTATCAGGTACTTCACATATATTATTTCTAATGTTCAGAATAGCTCTCCAAAGTAGATTTACAAAGAAGCTCAGAGAGGTAAATTCAGTTGCCCCAAATCACAGAGCTAGTAAATGGCTGAGCGAGGCTTTAAAAACCCAGGCTTTGCCTGCAGAACGACTATTTCCCCTTTTCCAGGATGTTTGCTTCATCCTGCTCCTTGTGTATGCTTTTCAATTATATTTTTCAATTGTATTATAGACTGAGCTTTTTGAGGGTGGGATCAATGTCTTAATCACTGAATTCTGGAACCCTAGCATTATAGTATCTGGCACATAGTAAATGCTCAATACATATTTACAGAATTTAAAAAATAGTACTTAACAGTTCCATGATTTAAACATTCTATTTGTATTATTTTTTGCCTACATCTTTTGAAGTAAATATGCTGTTAACTAGGGAATGAGGTGTTTCCATAACTTTTGTAGATAATTGTCAAAGCTTTAAAACACAAATGCTTATTGAAAGTGCTTTTATGCTAGTTAACCATACTTCCATGTATTTTATTTAATGTTGTCAACAATCTTGAGAGAGATTGTTTACCCTTATTTTACACATTTAGACATTGAAGTGAAGAGTAACTTGCTTACATCTGATAGCTAATAAGTTAAATATCATTACCTTTTTTCAAAGTATGATAACATTAAGTGAGAAAGCATTTTGTCATCATAATAAACTTGGAAGAGAAGCAGGTAAAAGAAAGGAGCCAGACTGATTTGGATTTAAGATATGACTGTGTAAAGGATTTGTAGAATTCTGATTAATAGGAATTCTGGTTATTAAAAGCCAATTAAAGGGGGAACACACTCTCATTTCTATTTTTTTGAAACATATATTTTTTTATTGATTTCAGAGAGGAAGGGAGAGGGGGAGAGAGAGAAACATCAGTGATGAGAGGGAATCATGATTGCCTGCCTCCTGCATACCTACTGGGGACTGAGTCTGATACCTGTGCCTATACCTTGACTGGGAATCAAACTGTGACCTTCAGGTTCCCAGGTCAATGCTCAACTACTGAGCCACACCAGACTGGCTCTATTTTTTTCTTTATACAAACCAAAAGTTTCTTTTTCTTCTTCTCTTTATATCTTATCCCATAAGTGAAGCGGGAACATTTTTTTTTGACCTTTTTATCTTAGAGACCGACCTTTAGAAGGCAGTCTTGAGTATGTATCACTTTGATAGAAATAAATGTTTAAAAAGTGATCATGAGAACTAACTTAATATTTTAGAGCTAGAAGTTATGTTGTTCAGGGACTTCACTTTGGAAATATCAAATGTCACATTGTTGAAGTGAAGGGCATGGCGGGGATCAAACAGTTGCTTAATGATGGAGGCAGGGCTGGAACTAACCTTCCCTGACCCTTAGTTCTGTGCCTTTTCCTTTTACTCCACATGGCTTTTTTCAGGCAAGCGTGTTGAACGCTTAATCTTAATGTACTTAAGAATAGCCTGGTAAGTATTTGTCCCAATGAACCCAAGAATGTATGACTGGAATTTATTTCTATCCATCTAATAAAATATATTAGGAAATGCAAGAATTATTGAATAATAGTGCTTTGTAAAATTTTAAGTTGCTTTGCCTGTGTAAAAGTTAGTGATTCATATTTATATATATATATCCACTTTTAGAAATCCTATGAAGTTCAGGCTGCTATTTATTTTTCCTCCTTCATGGAAGATACTAGGATTGAGAGGACTTTATATAGAGCAGATTAATATCTGGAGACCCCCATGTCTGTCACTTAGTAACCAAAGTGTATGATTCATAAGATTCCTGAAGTGTTAACTGTGTATAGGTTAGATGGGTCTTTAGCTTAATAGAGAGATAAATGGCTTTCTTTTTCAAATTTTTTTTCTTTCTCTAAATTGTTCCTAATACCCTGGCCCCAATCTAAAATTAGAGTAAGTATATATATACTCTTTCAGTTTCATGGGTTACTTGACTTTAAAAAATGATCTACAATAAACTGTCTTTCTTTGCTTTACCTTTATTTTCTCAACTTTGTGTTCTGACCTAAATTTGGTTTAGAGAAGAATTTTTTACTTAGAAATAGGCAGGATGCCTAAACCCTTGGATAAACACAGATCCAGGCTGGTGTTGGGAAAGGGATAATTGGTCCCTGGGAAAAAGGCAAAGGCTGGCCCATTAAGCTCTCTCTTCTCTCAGTGACAGCGGCAAATGTGGGGGCAGGTGCTCCCCTTTTTCTATTGGTAATAAGCATTGGGAGGCTGGGAATTCAAACTGGAAGGAAAGTCAACCGTCTCTGTGTGTGCATATATGTGTGTGTCTATATTAAATGCATGTGCTTATTTTTGCAGTATGTACACACACACTCTTGTAGTTCCCTTTTAGACTTTACACTTACTAAGCCACTTTAGTGTTAATATTATCAGCAAAAAAAGAAAAAGAGGGAAAATAATTGTTATCTACCATTGGTATCTGGAATTGCTTATACCACATGCTAGCAAAGCCGGCACCTTCCGTTAGCTGTGCTCCCAAGTCGGTTTGCTTCTCTCGGTGTTATTTTGTATCCTAGGTTACGATTAAGTTTAATTCCTCTTCCTAACTGCTCTGTTATTGGAGGTGAGTTTATGTGGATAAAATTATTTCAAATGTTCACTTATAGGTATTTCTGTTTTGTAAATGTAGCCTTAAAGACAAGTGCTTCTTTTCAGTATTGTGCTGGACTCCAAAATTAGCTGTTTCTGAAATAGATGTGAAAACAATTCTGTATTTTGTGGTACAGAGCCAATTAATAAGTGATGGTATGATTTGTACTTTATAGGAGTTTGCTTTTTGGAAGGTTGTATATCTTATTGTGAGGGAAGCTACTGTAATTTTTCAAAAATTAGAATTTTTATCTTCAGGTTTTAAAAATTCCCATTGCATTATCTTTGAACCATATCCTCTGGCAATATCAAGCCTAAGGTCCAG